CCCAGGTTTCTTACTCAAGGTGGAGAAGTTGGAGGGTGGGGGCGGGAGCTGGACTCCAGTGCTTGGATCAGCCATAGTCAGGAGGAAGCCAAGGGGTAATGGGGAGCCAGTGTGGGTAGTGGAGGAAGGGAGTGATGAAGTCTCAGTGAGGACAGTGAGCTCAGAACTGCCTCCTCTTGGGAGAAACTGCTTTGGAGAGACAGGAAGTGAGGAGCTGCTCTTGGGTTCCCTTGGGTCATTTCCAGCTGGCAGGGGAGGGCAGTGTTTTGTTTTGGTTTTTTTGTTTGTTTGTTTTGTTTTTTGAGACAGGGTGAGACAGGGTGTCTCGTAGCCCTGGCTGGCCTGGAATTCATTATGTAGACCAGACCAGGCTGGCCTTGAAGCCACAGAGATCCACCTGCCTCTGCCTCCCAAGTGCTGGGATTAAAGGCAAGTGCCACCAGACCCTGCCAAAATTGCATTATGGTTGTACCTAAATAAAGGATCAGCCTGACTTTTAGCATTAGTTTTAAAAACCAAGAATGGGGCTGGAGAGATGGCTCAGCGGTTAAGAACACTGTTCTTGCAGAAGACCCGGGTTCGAATCCCAGCACCCACATGGCAGCTAACAACTCCATTACTCCAGTTCCAGAGGATCCGACAGCCTCTTCTGTCCTCCGCGGGCATTGTGTGACACAGGTGCACTTACCTACACGCAGGCAATATACGCATACACATAAAATAAAAATAATAGATAAAATATGAAAAAAATTAAAAAACAAAGAACAAAAAAACAAGAAATGACCCACACTCTGAAAATCTGTCCCTTCAGCTCTCTCAGGGATCTGTGCTCTCCCAGCCTTTTATTCAAAAGTTTCTCCAGCATGAATTGGGGAACTGCAAGCTTGGCCTCTATCCTTATCAGAGAATCTGGTCCTGTCATCCCTAGGCCTAAAATCTCTCTCTCTCTCTCTCTCTCTCTCTCTCTCTCTCTCTCTCTCTCTCGCACACACACACACACACACACACACACACACTATCAAGCAGATGCTAATTCAAGCACCCCCACATTCATTCATTCTCTTTGGTGGAGAGCAAAGTGGGGTCCTAAGGGATCAAGATCAGGTACCTAGGCCGCAGGAGCACATAGCTCAGTGACTTTGTTTGCATTTGGGCACAAGGTTGAGTAAAAGTCATTAGTCCAGATTCTGTCCATATTGTGAGTCATTCCTACAAAGGAGGTCCTGGGAGTAGAGGGGAAAAGGGGAAGTTGGGATTCTGATTAAAGATTGAAGAAGACAAGAGCTCAAGAAACAGGCAGCCCTGACTCCACCTCATTCCCACTCTTGGAAGGTGTAAAGCATGGATTCTAGGATTCCTGTGATGGACTTGGTGCTGGGTTTGCAAAGACAGAAACAGTCTTCAAGGGGCAGGAGAGATGGCTCAGCGGTTAAGAGCACTGGCTGCTCTTGCAAAGGACTCGGGTTCAGTTCCCAGCATCCACATGGTGGCTAACAGCTGTCTGTAACTCCAGTTCCAGGGACTCTGACGCCCTCTCCTGACCTCCATGGGCATTGCATGCACTGGTGCACTCGCATACATGCAGGCCAAACACTAATATGGGTAGAATTAAATAAACTTAAAAAAATATTAAAAAAGACGAAAAAAGAAACAGTCATCAAGACGGCCATGCGTCTCTCTTCCCACTGCGTGGCCCCGTGGTAGCCACCTTGCTCACATGGTCATGCATCTCATAAAGTTCTGAGAAGTGGGTACTCCTACCAAACATTTGCCAGATGGGGAAACTGAGGCTGGAGAGAACACATCACCAACATGGGTTGAGAGTTCCCATGTGTCCCCCCCTTCAGATCCAGAGTCCCTCCAGGCAGCCCCGAGAGACAGGTCTCCACAACCTGGCTGGTAGATGGAGGCATTGCTTTGGGTCACAAGGCCACACAGCTCAGAGGCCGTGCAGTGCCATCCCAGAGAGACAGCTCTGTCTGGTGACCATACTCTGCCCAGCAGGACCCATGTCAGGAAGTGAGATGGGGTCACTGAGGTAAGAAGAGTGTGGAGGGCAGGTGTCATTAGAACAAGGAGGTCCCAATGGGTGGGCTTTCCAGGGACCATCAGGTAGAAACGATTGGCAGATGGTGAGGAGTCTTGGGGTCTTTGGGGTCTGTGAGTTGGGATCCAAGTTGAGCTCTGGAACTGGGAGTGACGGACCGGGTGACAGGTGCAGACCCTGATTACTCTGAGGTCTGAGGGAGGACAGCTGAGCTGCCAGGATTGGGGGAGGAGCCTCTGAGATGAAAGGGGGATTGTCTTTCACAAGGCTACAGGATCTTGTGGCAAAGGAGTCTGATTTCTGGAACATTCTCTCTTTTCTCTTTTTCTCCTCCCCACTTCACTCCAGGGTCAGAGCTGTGTGGTCAAAGGGGGCAGTACGGGTCTTTCCTAGGGGACTGTGGGAAAAGGTGGACTGTGCCTGGGGGGCCTAGGAGGTGGGAGAGTACCCTAGGTTAGGCCTGCCCCCCAACATTCATTATTTAACTAATTCATAGCACTCACTGACCCCACCCACCCCCTACCACCACAGGTCAGGGCTTGTGCTGAGGACAGCAGTTAAGGCAATGAGCCAAGTACCTGGGGTCCCATTGTAGACACCCCCCCTATTATCCCAGATAAGGACAGCATTCAAAGCCCACTCATTTCCAACCACAGGTGCCCCTGCCTGTCCCCTAAACACACTGTTGGCATCCTTATCTGGTCCCAGCCTGGGTCCCATGCTGGTAGGAGTTGGATGGATGGGCTGTCACCTGCACCTAGGTGCCTTGGATCTCTGGGCCACCCAGCCACTCCACACAGGCCAGTGTGTCTGCCACAGTCAGTCCACAGGTCATGGGTTTGCTCAGGTGGCACTGGCTAGGCAACTTTATTTCATTTTTATTTATTTATTTTTATCAGATTCTGGCTGTGGCCATGTACAATCATGAGGACCCGAGTTGGATCCCCAGAACTCATGGGGAAAAGCCAGGTATGGTGCCCAGTGCTTGTAATCCCAGTGTTCGGGAGGCAGGGACAGGTGGATCCCTGGAGCTCACAGGCCAACCAGCCTAGTCTTCTTGGTGAGTTCCAGGCCAGTGAGAGACCCTATCTCATTAAAAGAAAGAAAGAAAAAAAGAAGGAAAGGAAGGAAGGAAGGAAGGAAGGAAGGAAGGAAGGAAGAAAGAAAGAAAGAAAGAGAAAAAGAAAGTCCCATTTAGTTGTGAGGAAGGAAGGAAGGAAGGAAGGAAGGAAGGAAGGAAGGAAGGAAGGAAGGAAGGAAGGAAGGAAGGAAGGAAGGAAGGAAGGAAGGAAGAGCCAGGCATACTATCGAATGCTTTTAATCTCGGTACTGGGCAGGCAGTAGTAGGCACATCTCTGTGAGGTCAAGGCCAGCCCGATCTACACATTGAGCTCCGGGTCAGCCTGCTCTACATAGTTGAATCATCCCCGGCTCCCTCCTCCCCAGGATTCACACCCAGCCTCTATACAAATCCACTGACAAGATGGTCAGAATCCTACCACCTCTCACACACCATGGCTCAACCCCCACATCTTCTGCCTGCTCCCTTGTCCCTGCAGTTGGTTCTCACTTGGCAGCCAGTGACTAGCCTCAACCAAGTCCACCCATGGTCTTCCTGTGCTCAACTTGCCCACAGGTTGTCTCACGTCTTGAGAAAAGGCAGCCAAAGTCTTCACAATGCCCGGCCTGTAGGCCCAAGGTGGCTGTCTCTCTCCCAGAACATTCCTCCCACCATTCTCCTTGCTCCTTCTCTAACCTGCTGGGCATGTCCCTGCCTCAGGAGCTTTAATGAGCTGTGCTGGCTCAATGATAAAGGTGCTTGCAGCCAAGCCTGATGACCTAGTTTGATCCCCAGAACCTACATGATAGAAAGAGAAAATTGGCTCCCACAAGTTGTCCTCAGACCTCCACACACCTTGCCTGTGGAACGACACCCAAGGTTGACCTTGTCTTCACATGCCTGCACATGTGAACGTGCACACATAAGCACATACACACAGACACACAGACAGATAGACAGACAGACACACAGCACTTATGACCTTGACCTAGGAAGGGCTAGCCTGGGATTCTGGCAGGGATGCTGGGCTAGCTCTGGCACCTCCCACAGCACCAGGCTTTCTTTCCCCCTTTATCCCCAGCTTCTGTACTTCCTGCCTCTCATCTGTGCCCTGCAGGGCACCCAGACCCTGAGCACTGGTCTCTTGTTGCTGAGGTCAAACAGTATGTGACACGTCCCCTGTGGACACCACACTAGGGACAGATGCCCAGGCCTGTGGGGGAAGCCGGGAGTAGCCACTACGATTCCCAAAACAGAAAGAAAGGTCACAATAGGCTCCACCCCTGAGGTTTCCTGACTGTCTTTTGCAAGTCCGAGCCTGGCACAGTGGGTAACTCAGCCTGAGTGGAATTAATGAACAATCAAATGGAAGAATGAACAGATGAACAACCACCGAGAATCTTCCCAGCACTGTGAAGAGCACCTAACAGCACTGTGCTGAGTACCTAACACACAGCATTGCTGAGTATCTAAGAAACAAGTTTGTGATTGTCGCATTTAATCCTCAAAGCCATTCTATGAAGTGGGGAAACTGAGGCTCAGCTGCCCAGGTCCCCCACCCTGACAACCTACAGCAGAGACTGTTTCCCCTATGGAGTCTCCCCTGCCAGAGCCCCATCACCTCACACTGTCATGCATGGATGTGAAGTGAGGCCCATCCATGGTCTTGTGAACCAGCCATGGGGAACCTGGGTTTCTTGCACTGAGGGCCTGGCAGCTGTGTTTGCCCCTGTCAGTAACTGGCCTCTGTGGGTCCCGGCAGGTGCAGCCTCTGGGCCTTTCCCTGAGATCTCTAGGTGGTGGCTACAGAGCGAGGAGCCTGAGCCAGCAGTGCTCATCCCTTGCTGGCATCGCCCACCCTGCCCCCAAGGGCCCAAGAGCTGCCCTGCTCACCCACAGACATCCAGCGAGGCCACGGTGCCCAGCACACACACAGCATGCGTGGGCTGCTGGAGGTCCACATGGATCACTGTCCCCTGGGCCATCCTGGGTTAGTGGCTTCAGGGAGGCTCTGGGCTGGTTCCTTTATACTGCCCGCCCAGGCCATGAGTCAGCACCTGCGGCTGTGGCTGGAGGCCCAGCCTCTCCAAGCTCAGGTGCCTATGGGGGCTATGGGGTGTCCTCTGCCCTGGCTGCCTGCCCCCACCTCCAGATGGTCATCTGTGGTGGACTCAGCAGCAGTGGAGGAGCAGAGGGCCCTGAGGTCTAACAGGGAAGCGTGCAGGTCCCAGTCCTGTGCCCTTAGCCACCCCAGCCTGGGGCCACAGACATCCCATCAGTCTTGCTTGGGCATGCCAAGCAGGGCGTCAGAGGGGAGAAAGCAAACAGGGCAGGGTGGAGCAGGGGTCATAGCCCAGGCCACTCCTTCAGAGGCCATCCAACTGATGGATCCTCTCCCCAGAGGCTCCACTCAAGACCTTCCCTCTGCTTTTTGCTGGAATGTTCCTTAAGACAACCTGTGGAGAATGCTACTATCTCACCCTTGAAGTAGCTCTGAACTCAGCACCATTACCACACCCACTTTACAGAAGGAGAAACTGAGGCACCAAAGGCAACAAGGCCAGAGAGCCAGGATTAGCTTGAACAAACACTGCTGGGTAGTTTTATTAGCTGCCTGTCCCAGTGACTCGAGCTTTGCAGACTATCACAGCAGCTTCTTTACAGCAACACCAGGCGTCTGTGGGCAGGTACCTGCAAGCCCATTTTATAGATGGGAAAACTAAGGTCCAGAGAGGGAAATGTGACTTGCCCTGGGAGCTATGGGTAGCCTGGAACAGGGCTGGGACAGGAAGCCAAGCTGCCTGACCTGGAAGCTGGGGTTCATTGCACATGCTGGGTGTCTGCCTCTATGAGGCCCCTGTCTTTCCCACACCCTGGAACTGGGAGGGGCCAAGCAAGACTCCCAGGTCCAGCAACCCCCAAGTGGGATCCAGGACCAAAGCCCACTTCCCCCAGAGGCTTTGGCCAGGCCTGATGCTCTGATGAGTCTACATGGCTTCCAGTCTGAACGAGCTCAGCGTCTCAGGCTGGTCATATGATTAGAAAGAGTCTGCGTTCCTAAGGGCAGGAGGTCTGCGCTGGGGGCCCTCAGGGAACATCAAATCCAGTCTGCATTCTGTAGATTCAGAGAATTACACAGAGAGGGTGTGTGACATGCCCATGGTCACACAGCAAGTCATGGGAGGTCTACCTCAGGTCTCAGCTCCTCTGGGATAGCTTTCTCCTCTCCTTTTCTCTCCTCCCCTCCCCTCCCCTCCATTTCTCTCCTTTCTCCCTTCCTTCCTTCCTTCCTTCCTTCCTTCCTTCCAAAACCACTCCCTTCCTTCTGTATGCCTTTTATTTTTCTTGACTTTTTGCACTGACTAGACTCTCAGGTTGAATAAGAGCAGCAAAAGCCTTGTGTGTGTGTGTGTGTGTGTGTGTGTGTGTGTGTGTAGATACACGTACATGAGTGCAGTGCCCTTGGAAGCCAGAAGAGGGCGTCAGGTTCCCTGGAGCTGGAGTTACAGGTGGTTGTGAGCAGCCTGACACGGGTGCCGAGAATCAAACTCAGGACCTCTGGAAAAGCCACAAACTCTCTTACCTGCTGAGCCATCTCTCCAGTCCCTGTTTGTGAGGTTTCGTTCCATTGATTTTTCTCTAGTCTTCAGTTTCACTGATTTTTTCATTACTTTTATCTTCATTGTTCCTTTCCGTCTGGCCTTGGGTTTCTTCACTGCTTTAGTTTCTGAAGGAGACAGCTTAGCCCATTGCTTAGAGACTTCTGCTTTTTCTAACATGGCAATTATGCTGTGAATTTCCCTCCTCGGTACAGTTTTGGCTGAGCACAATTTCTGATACTGTATCTTTCCATTTTTACCTTCAATGCTTTAATTTCCCTCAAGATATAAAAATATTTTTTATTTACCTTGAGACATCATTCACCCATTGGTTATTTCATGTGTGTTTGTATGAATGTGTGTGTGTGCGTATGTGTGTGTGCAGGTACACGTGCACATGTAGAGGCCAGAGGGCAACCTCAGCTGCTTCTTCAGCCACTGTCCACCTCATTTGTTTGTTTTCTTAAACATTTCTCTATTTAGTGTGTGTGTAGAGGTCAGAGGGCAACTTGCAGGAGTCAGTTCTCTCCTTCCACCGTGTGGATCCTAAGGATCAAATGCAGCTCATCGGGCTTGGCAGCAAGCACCTTTACTCACTGAGCCATCTTGCTGCCCCATCCTTTTTTCTTTTTAAGACAGGGTCTCTCATTGGTCAGAGCTCACCAAGTAAGCTAGGCTTACTGACCAGCCACCCCCAGGCATGTGCCTGTCTTTGCCTCCCAGTACTGGGATTACAAGTACATGCTGTGGGGGTCCTTCCCGGCTCGCAGCACGATGGGGGCCGAGGAGGGGGAAGGAGCTGCCGTCCTAACCCCTCTGTTCCAGAGGCACCACCAAGGATGCAGGGAGTGTTGTCTAGCAGGAGCTCATTTATTATTAAGGCTGAACAATATTTAAAGGCAAAAACCACAAGCATAGCATAGGTGGGGAGGCCGGCATCCAATCAGCTCAGAGGTCACGTATTAGCACGCAGGCCCTTCTCATAGCATAACTCAGTGTTCACGAGGTGATCATGTGTCCTTCACTGGCTGAGCTACAATCAGTATTACTTTTTCTTATTGTTGCGTGCCAAGCTGGCTAGCTGGCTCCGCCTTCACCTGAGCTGCTCAGTGCCATCTTATTACCGTACCTCCACACATTGCCACCATGCCCAGCTTTTTACATGCATTCTGGGGATCCAAAACCAGGTCCCCACGCTGGTGTGTTGAGCACTTTGCCTGTTGAACTATCTCCCCAGACCTCCATATTCAGCTTTTTTACATAGGTTCTGGGGTTCAAACCCAGGTCCTTATGCTTTTATAGCAAGTACTTTACAGACTGAACTGTCTCCCCAGCTTCACCCAAAGTGTATTTATTTAATTTATTATTTATTTATTTATTTATTTATTTATTTATTTATTTATTATGCATGTTAATGCACCCATTGTCCTGGAACTCACTATGTAGACCAGGCTGGCCTTGAACTCACAAAGATCCGCCTGCCTCTGCCTTCCAAGTGCTGGGATTAAAGGTGTGCGCTACTGCACCTAGCTTATTTTTTATTTTTTAATGTGTATGAGTCTATTGCTTGCATGTAGGTAGGTGCACCCATGTCGTGCAATGCCCACGGAGGTCAGAAGAGGAAGTCAAATTCCCCTGGAACTGGAGTTACAGTTGTTAGCCACCATATGGGTACCGGGAATCGAACCTGGGTCCTCTGTAAGAGCAGCCAGTGCTCTTAACCTCTCAGCCATCTCTCCAGCCTAAGAAGTGTATTTATTTAAGAGGCACAGAATAATGTGGGTTGTTTTAAGATTTATTATTATTATGATGTGTGTATAACGCATGTATGTGCCACAGCACGTGTGTGGAGGTCAGAATACAGCTTTGTAGAGTTTGCTCTCTTGTCCCACTCTTCTGTTGGTTCCAAGGATCAAACAAGGTTGTCAGGCTTCCACAGTTAGCACCTTTACCCGCTGAACCATCTCAGCATAGCCAGCGTCAGTGGTGGCTACAATCAAGTCAATGAACAGATCTGTCTCCTCATGTGGGAACCTATGTGTTTGTGTCACGTTTTCTCTTTTTTAAAAAGATTTTATTTATTATTTTTATTTTATGTGTATGAGTGTCTTGCCTGCATGTATGTGAGTGCACCACATGCAATGCCCACGGGGTCCAGAAGAGGGTGTTAAATTCCTTGGAACTGGAGTTACGGACATTGTTAGTTGGGAATTGAACCCGGGTCCTCTGCAAGAGCAGTCAGTGCTCTTTACCGCTGAGCCATCGCTCCAGACCCCAGATTTTTTTTCTCCAGTCCCTCTGGATGGCTCTAGTCTTTCCCTCTCCTGAAAATCCTGCATAGCACTGCATTGTCTAAGGAAGTTTGGCCTCTCTTCCATGTTCTGATTTTATTTATCCACACACCTGGAGACAGGATCACAGAGTCAGACACTGAAAATGCTTTCCAAAGAATTCTATCAAACCACACCTACTCGAGCCTGCTGGTGTCATCCCCACCTGCCTGAAAGATTTATTTTTTTGGCCGTTTGTTTTGGTTTCTATTTAGTGGTATCTGGTACTGATTTAGCTCCTGATGAGATGGACAGATGTTCCAGAAGCTTCCATCTGGCTATCATTTTCTTGTAATGTTCAACAGAGTTAACCAGGAGAGACACTGGGCAGGCCCTTCAGTGACTTTGAAGATTCACCCCTGTGCTTTTGCTGGTCAGGACTGTGATTACATCTCTCCGATGGCAACTTGAAGGCTGAACCAACAACGAAGGCTTGCGTTGAAATAACATTGCCATATGAACTTGAACCTGGGGTGAGTTTAAAACAACACTGACACCTGCATTTTCCTCAGTCAGGCGTGTATGATATGAGTGAGTTTCTTCCTGGCTGTGTTTATTTGCCCAGAGAATTCACATCCAGCGGAGGCTGCCAGGCAGGGCTGGGTGGCACAATGGTTAGGTGTGGTCAGGGCATCCAGAGCTTCAAGGTCGCTGCTGGCTCTTCAGTGCGCCTGTCTCCTATCCCCTAGAGCTCACCGAGCTCCCTGTTGATGAAGTAGGGCTACCTGGTGTCTTCATCTGTCACTCAAAGGCCCTGGGATCCTATGGTTGTCGAAGAAGTTGTAATTAGTTGTGTCACACGTTCACACTTCCATGTCCTGTCTACTGTCTCCCCTGGAGTGGCTACAAGCTGCTACTCGGGTGCCACTGAACACTAATGGGCAGATCCTCTTCCCAGGTCTCAAGATCCAGGCTCCAGTTTCTCTGGGATGTTATTGTTACCAAATGGGGTCATAGTCTGTGCCCCAAGAAGCCAGGTTTGGCCATCCTCCTTGGGAGGCCAATTAAAACAGCCCTCCCCTCTCACAGACACCACTGAGGCAGTGTCTGTGGTCC